TACACACAGACTGGGCCACAGCAACGTGTGGCAGGGGACGGCTAGTATTATATACAATGGAACAAATGGCTGAAACATTATGTTTGTTTATACCCTGCTTTTTCTCTCGACAAGGAAATTCATAGCAACTTCCAGTAGAATCAAAGAGTTGGAAGAGACCTCATGGGCCATCCAGTCCAGCCCCATTCTGCCAAGAAGCTGACCGGACATTGGTCATTGTTTGGGTCATCCTTTTCTCCCTTCTTGAAGATTGGGACCACATTGGCCCTCCTCCAGTCTGCTGGAACTTCTCCCGTTCTCCAAGAACTCTCAAAGATGGTTGCCAATGGTTCCGAAATGACTTCCGCTCGTTCCTTCAATGCTCTTGGGTGTAGTTGATCTGGCCCTGAAAGGGGACTTGAACTCATTTAGAGCGGCCAGGTATTCCTGGACGACTTGTTTCCCAATTTGGGGTTGGATGTCCTCTAATCCCTCTTCTACTCCATCTTGCTGAGGTTGAAGATGACTTTCTTTTTGTGAGAAGACCGAGGCAAAGATGGCATTAAGAAGTTCTGCCTTTTTCCTAACCCCTGTCAGCATTGCCCCATCTTCTCCTCGAAGAGGCCCTATCGCCTCCTTATTTTTCCTTTTTAAGCCCTTTTTATTGTTTTTAATGTCCCTGGCAAGCCTGAGCTCGTTTTGTGCTTTAGCCTTGTGGACCTTATCCCTACAGGTGTCGGCTATTTGTTTGAATTCTTCTTTGGTGATTTCTCCCTTTTCCCACTTCTTGTGCATGTCTCTTTTACTTCCAGTAAAAGCAAAGCATTTTGATACTATTTTAAATTTACAAATATGCAAACATTCAAACAAAATATTAATGGTATTTTTAAAAAATCAGTTAAAATCCATAAAAGCATATTCAACGTATGTAGACCCACCAAACTGGAAACTTCCAGTAGCAATATCCTATTTAAACACCCCTGGTTGATCCTTCTTCCCTATCCCACACACACGTTAATGTTTTCCTTTCCATTTCCCCAGAGGCGTCGCCATGAAATAACCTTTTAAGGTCTTGTGGCAAGAAAATGAAAAACACTCGTCTGGTTCTTGCCTCTCTGCCGGCTTTGGTTAATGCCTAACTGAGCCCCAGTGGGCTGGAAAATTGAGCTGCAGTTTTGACTTCCTCGTAGCCTAAAATATGCAAGCTTTCTGGGTTCACTGAAGGTTTTGCCCCCGTGGAAACACGGCTCGGCCATGTCCTCGCTTCCTTATTTGTAAGTCCTTGCTTTTGAGATTGCATCCATGGCTTGGACTTTGGTCCGTTTGCTGTGGTGTAGCCATAGCGAACATGTTCCTTGCCTTTGTTTAAATATGATTCTGAGATGGAAATAGCAAGAGAGCGCACACCCTTTTAGAAGGAAACATAACCTGCTAAACTAGAGCCTCTGGATGCTGAATAGGACTGTTTGCTTCCATAATCACTTACTAGCTGGGGCTGATGGGAATTACTGTCCAAAGCAATAGATTTATTTGTTTGTTTGTTTACAACATTTATATGCCTTGGTCGCCTTGGTGGATGACCTCCGTAGAGAACTGGACAGGGGGAGTGTGACCCTGCTGGTTCTCTTG